AGCTGCTTCCTTTCACAGTGTTGGTCCTGGCCGGAGCCCATCAGGTGAGGGTCAGGCCCATTTTACAGGGGGTAACTGAGATGGGAAGCCAGTTCCCTGAGGCCACAAAGCCAAGAGGGACTCACGCATTGCCTGACTCCACTGCCCCAGGCATCACTGGGTCCCTGCTGGCTTTGGAAGCAGTTGGACCCAGGCCGGGCCTAAGAGGGGACTAGGCTGAGGCTAGGCAAATATTGTCCATCCTTATCCTTGTTCCCTCCATGACTCAGAGTGTGGCTTATGTCCCCATTGACCAGAGACCCTGTTACATCTCCCAGCCCAGTGAGGGTGGGATGGGGCACTGGTGGGCCAGCATTTGTTCTGTCAACTCACTTCACTAATTCATCCATCCATTCATCCAGTAAGCAATAGGGCCCTCGGTGTGGCTCAGTGGATAGAGCATTGGCCCGAGGACTGAAGGGTCCCGGGTTTGATTCCGGTCAAGGGCATGTACCTTGGTTGCAGGCTTGATCCCTGGCCCCGGTCAGGGCCTGTTTGGGAGGCAACCAAGCGATGTGTCTCTCTCATTTCGATGTTTCTCTCTCTGTCTTTCCCCCATCCTTCCACTCTCTCTAAAAACCAATGGAAAAATACCTTCAAAAAATATCCTAGGGTGAGGATTAACGACAACAGCAACAACAACAAAATCCAGTAAGCGATAGGGACACAACACTAAACAAAACAGATAAAAATTCCTGTCCTAATGAGCCACTCCAGTGGGAGACAAGATGCACAATTAAAAAATAAATAAAACATGAAACGCCAGCTGGTGGTAAATGCTAGGGAGAACACCACCGGGAAGGGCAAACGGAGTGGCAGGTGCTGCAGTTTAATATGGTGGTGAGAGGGCTCATGGAGGTGAACTCAGAGCACAGACCCAGAGGAGGTGAAGGAGGGAGCCATGGGGACACCTGGGGGAGAGCGACCCAGGCAACAGGCACAGCAAGTGCAAAGGCACTGGGGCAGAACCCAGAGAGGTATTGGAAGAGCATCGAGGAGCCTCTGTGCCACATGGAGCAGAGTGAGAGTGAGAGGGAGGTGAGGGCAGGGAGGCGATGGGGGCAGGGCAGGCAGGGCCTGTGGTAGTTACAGTTTTGATTTTCACCCTAAGAGTGAGTCATGGGAGGGTTGGGATGGGCTGCATGCCCAGGGCGGGCCACCTGGGAGGGTAGGTTTTCAATAATCCCCTTGGCAAAGTCCTCCCAAGCTGATAAAGGCTCCTTTTCCTGGGACCAGGCAGAATTAGCTGTGGGGAGCCCACCCTCCCCAGCCAGCATGTGGACCCAGAGGCTGAGGGTGGTGCCAACCCTCCAACCCCATCCTTGAAGGAGAGGTTGAGGCCACAGCAGGGAGGGTGGGACCTTACAGGTACTGCTTAGTGGATTCCCGCCCCCAGCCTCCTCCAATCCGGTGGGCACTGGCCTCATCCCCTGGACCCGTCTTACAGACCCAGCCCTCACAGCCAGGCAGGGCAGGAGTTAGGGCCACCCAGAGCTGAGGTTCTCACTGGGGCTGTGGATCATGTTCACATACCCCACGTACACTCCAGGATGGTTGGTAGGCCCGTGTCCCTGGGCTCACGTGAGTGACCAATGAAGATGACCCCTGTGACCTTGGCAGGAAGGAAAGGGAAGGCCCTTCCATCTGGCAAGGCTCACTGAACTGGGTAGGAGGGTGTCAGTCAGGAGCCCTGGAGCCACCCCTGCCCTAGAGAACTACCTACTGGGGGTCAAATGGACACAGAGGGAGAGCCACACAGCTGAGTACGGAAGCATCTGGATCCAACCATGCCTGAAGCGAGCCCTACCCCTGGGCAGTTCAGTTCTCGAAGCTGGAAAATTCTGTTCTGCTTCACACCGCTTGAGTCAGGTTTGAATCCCTTGCAACCAAGAGAAGTTTTGGTAGAAAAACCTCCCACTTGAGGGGCTGAGGCCTCCTGGGCAGTGCTAGAATTCCAGGAATCAGGCTAAGAAGCCCAGTGAAGCCTGGAGGCGAAGATGGACCCACAGAAGCCCAGCCAATGACTAGGAACCACTGTGTCTGAGGAGGTGCCCACCTCCCTGCCACACGCTCCACTTCCCAATGGCCCAACATCAGACGACACTGAGTAGCATCCAGGACCTGCAATGACAACCCCCCAGGAGGTCTTTATTGGTCCCCACGACCACGATCCATCTTCACTGTGGAGGCCACAAAGAACACAGGTAAGAAAAAGTCTGTCTTCTCCAGGAAAAGTCTTTCATGGGGCAGGATGGGGAGGTGTTGTGCCCCTCCGGGGTCCTCCTCTGGGGCCTGGCGAGGTCCTTGGTGAGTCAGGGTGCTTCAGTCCCTCCTCCACTAAAACTTTCGGTTCTTGCTCAGCCGGTTGTGGCGCCAGATATTGTGTTTCCGCAGCAGCCGCCAGTACTCCCAGGACTCAGGATCCAGCTCCTCCAGCTTCTTGGGGGGGCCCACATTCATCTGGAACAGCCTGATGGGGTACGGGCAGGAATCAGGGCTGCCCAACAGCCATCCACAACTCCTGGGCCCCAAGTACCTTGGGCAGAGGCAATGCCGAGGCAATGCCGAGGCAATGCCAGGTCTGGGTCCCTGGGCTGTGATCTCAGGGTGGTCCCTCACCTTCCCTGAGCCAGGTTTCTGGCTGTGGAACAAGGGGGCACCTCCATCCCAATAGTGCTGATGGCTGAGGTGGGCACATGCCAAGTCTTCTCCTGCCTCCTGGCCACTGTCCATGCTGTGCACCTGTAATGCCTCCCCTCCCACTCAACCTTTCTGCACCGTCCCCAGCTTTAAGGATCAGCAACTGTCAATGGTTTCCATGCCCTGCTAATGCTCTCAAGGCCAAGAGCAAAACTGAAATCCCTGCAGCCCCCAGGACCTGCCAGGACTGGGTTCCATGACCTCCCTGCCCTATCTACCCCTGCTCTCCACCTTGTCCCTAAAAACCAGGTACAATACTGCCCCAGGGCCTTTGCACTGGCTGTTCCCTTACACCCACTCAGGTCTTCACTCATGCATTGCCTCCCGAGGGAAGTCCTCCCAAAAACCTCAGATCTGATCAGGCAGGCTCCTCCTCACCTGGTCACTGGTTTTCCCCACTCTCCAGCCTGGCCCACTCACCACTCAGGGTACTCGGCATCCGGCTTCAGGACCACGTCCTGGCCCTCCTTGTAGATGTTAACACCCATGGCATGTGTGGTGAGCCGGACAGGGTCTGTGCACACCTCTGGGTCCTTCAGGACATCACTGACCACACCGCTTTTGCCGCCTTTGCCCCCCTTAAGGACTGGAGTGGGGAGGAGGTAAGAGTTCAGCCTGGTTCAGCCCAGCTCCACCCTCTGGAGGCCAGCCTTCCTTCCCTGCCCCCAGTCTCTCAGGGTGGCCCCAGGCCCTGGCTGGCCCCTGTCTTCAAATGATTTTAAGTTGGACATGGATACTGCAGTAAATAACACTGATGCTCAGAGTGACCAAGTCACTCCTTTTCAATCCTGTTTTGATTCTTTCTGTTTATCTCACAAAGTGCTGCTACGTCTCTTTAAGACCTAACATATATTTGGCAATTCCTTCTTTCAACAAAGATCAGGCATGGTGGTATCCAGCTAAAATTCAAATAACTTTGTTTTGGTTTTGCTTAAGTGGTCAATACTTGGACCCCTGGAATTTCTGGTGATGACGTGCAAAAGGTCACACAATCATCTAGGGGAAGAAACACGATTGGGAAGCAAGTTCCTGACCTTACCCCCCTCCCCAAGAAAACAAACCCACGCCTGCGGCAGGTGGAAGCGCGTCTGCTCCACGTAAGTCACACCGCCGTCCCTGGCTGCTCAGCTACAGGCTGGTGCCTGTTCAGAGTCCAAGTGAGCCCTACGTCCCTCAAACTGCGCCTGCGCGTAAAACCTAGCTGCAGGCCACTTCCCGCGGGTGCCTTGATTCTAAGAACCACCTCCGCAACCAGCGCCTGCGCAATGCAAATTACCCAATGTCCTCACTGTTCCCATTTTGGTCTCTCTTAACCCAGCTCACCTGGTTTCTTGGCATAATCCCGGACGAGGAGTCTTCCAGGAGCGGCGGGGTCCGGGAGCTCCCGAGGCCGCCAGCCAGCCCAGGTCCGCGTAGCCCCGAATAAGCGTCTGGCCGCCATGACGTACGCCGGCTGCCTGCACGTACACGTTTTTTGAGACGTCAGCAGCCACAGGGTGCTTGAGAGATAGAGGCTCCTAGAGATTCCTGGGAAATGTAGTATTTCAGCCTAAGACCTACGTTCTTTGATATATTAGTTACTGTATGAGGCGATTTTAAAGGGATGTTTCATTGACTTCTTGCCCTTCTTCGACTAATTATTTACTTTAAAGATCACACCTTATACATTCCTGATTCTATTCAATGCGCAAATATTCAAAGCCTAAAGGTCTATGAGATAGTAACAGGTTCATATTCCAGCCCAATTGTTAAATCCTTAACCGGCTTGATTTTGTTTAATCCTCACAATTACGAGATATTACCTCTCCTATTATTATTACCAATTTATAACTGAGGA